AGAAGGGTTCAAAAGGGAGTTGAGATTGCATTAGTCAAACATAATGACGTCAGTCTTATCTCGAATTTGAATAAAATCATTGATTTCAATCCAGGGGAGTATACAATATGGTGATATTTCCTCTAATATATTTAATATAAATATCGTCAATATCGTTCCTATCTAAAAAGACGTAATTAATTTAAAATAAATTTGATATGATGCATAAGGATAAACACGTTATATTGTAATATAATAAACGTCCGTATTTTATTATCGTATTTAATACAAATGTGTCATATTAGTATCGACATAAAATGAAAATAAAGAATCACATAAAATATAATGCATAAAAAATATAAAGAAACAATAATTGAACATTTACAAGAAATAAACATGTAACAAAAGCAAGATCGAATATTAACAGAATGAACTAGATTCATTTTGTAAGAATTTAAATCAAAAAAGAAAAATGACTATAACGAGTAATCAACATAAACTTGTCGTCAGTCATAAAGTAGAACGTTTACATATCACCGAAACGATCCGCCGACTTCGCATACACGGCCTAAACATACATATAGGAAGTTGATATAGAAGTCTATTCTTGTAAAACAAATAATCCCTGCAGATCCGAGATACGGATATCTGTCTGTGGATTAAAGAGTTTCGTAACGAATTAAAGAATCAAACGGATAGAAAAAAGATATAAAGAACAAATAAAAAGAAAAATAATTTTAACTGTTTATTAAAAGAAAACGTCGGATTTTCGTTTTTATCAAAAAATTATATTTGTTTGCAAGCATTCGTTTATTCTTGAACACTCCGTATATGTTATAATTAAAAAATTAAAATTAAGGCTTGTTCACTTATCACTATTATTTTAGATTCAAAGCGTCAAAAGCGAGAAATTTTATACAATAAAAAAATTCTTGTATAATATATTTAATTATAAAAATATTTTTGAATAAAACAACGTCTATAGAATTATATTTACATACAGAATTATATGTAGCTTTTTTGCTTCAGGAAATTAAAATATATTTATTACTATATATTATTAATTTAACAGTTGTCACTGCTGTAAACACAGCTTATTTCTTTTTTAACTATACATAATTTGTTTCCATATAAATAGCTATTTATTAATTAATGAAATAAAAGGGGAATTTTCGATATCTTTCACAAGTCGATTCGATTGTGTTATTTTATTGGAACATATTTTAATGAACATATTTTGCAGAAATATTTATTGTGCATTTTTCCGTTTCTGACGTCACAATCTGAGATAGTAGTGGTGAACAGAAGCGTTAACAAGAAGAAAAGAAGAAGATCCGAAAGACGAGGCATGTGAAGTAAAAAGTCTACAAAATGTAGGCGGCCTCCTGCCAAGTAGAATATGCGGGAGACGCAGAGGATACGCGGCTGCAACATCAAGTATCAACAATATTGCTCACGGTCTCAGTCTTTTGACACGCGAAAAATAAGACGAAGACGCGACGGTATCCGCAGGAGAAGGTGCCTTTCTGACGGGGTTCCGCTCTTCGAACCGGCGAGTTCGCTGCGTGAAAGAGTCTTGGAATTCAAAATGGCTGTCGCGGGATCGCGCGAGCCGCTATGCGTGGGCAATCCATCGGCAACACCATCTCGCGCTCATGACACGTGTGTGTCGCTGAAGAGCGTTACTTGCGGCCATGATGATTCTCCAACTCAGCAAGATCGAATCGAGACTACATCTTTTCCTTTTCTCCAGATTCTTTTTTCCAAATCATTTAATATTTGCAAAAAATTAAAATTTTACTACTATATTAAATAAACGATTTGTATATTAATTAATTCTTAGGATAAAATTTTTATTTATTTTATAAGAAAAATATCTATGTATAAATTTATTAAAAAATTATGTATTTTTCTATCTGATCTTAAATAAATCAGTAGGTTTTTTCTGGATATTTTTAGATAAACTAATTTATAAACTTGTGGAATGTGTCATGTGGATAATATAATTAAAAATACATGAATTTTAATTGCTATATGTTAGATACGTTAGGTGAGATAGATAAACACATTATATCCTTTTGTTTGTAATATTTATCTAATCAGTAAGTTATGATACACACGCTTATATTTCTTATAATAATAAAAAATATCCGCAGTAAATAAGAAATAAAAGAATTTTTAGCGTAATTTACCTGTTTCTTCATTTTTTATTTCACATATTATATCATAAATAAGAAATTGTTTAATAAATTCAATGCCATTATTGTAAATTAACATTATTAATATTAAAGTTATTTGATTATTACGAATAAAAAAAATTTCATTACAATAATAAATAAAAGCAAAAAATTTATTATTTCATGTTTTCTATGTAACAATAAACAATATTTGCAAATATGTAAGATGCATAATTCTAAAAAAATTTATTCATCATTAAAATAATTTCTATTGGCATAATATTTAGTACTCTATCATATATCGTGGCATAAATTAGATTACAGTATAAGTCATGGCAATTGAAAAATTCAAATACAATAAATAACAATAAAAAAATCTTAAAATGAACGAATAATCGAAACTACTGGCTTGCAAGCGGCCATGCCACACTTCACGCCATCGCGTCCGACGGCAGCCATGCTTCCTACATGGTTTGATACTTTCTCCTCCTATCGGCCATCCTATTCCGAAAAAACTGGTAAACCCGAACCTAAATCTCTATCGATTACAGTACAACTCGACAATCGAAACATATATTTATTAACAGAGCTAGAAAAATGACCGAAGCCATAAGTATCATGCTATTGATCTACTGCACATCAAGTAATATACAATATTAAACTGTCATAAGTATTCGTCGATTGGAGATACGCCAATCATGCGAGTTAACCATTCTCACATGAATATCTAGAGTATCTAGTTTTCTCATGCGAGCAGAAACTCAAGCGCGCCGTAACCGCCTACCCGTTTGACCACCCCGAGAATATATTGCACCTTCCTTTCTCTCTCTCTCTCTCTCTCTCTCTCTCTCTCTCTCTCTCTCTCTCTCTCTTTCTTTCTATCCCGCCCTTCCTCTTTGTCTCTCCCTTTCCGGTTATCTCTTCGTCCCCTCTCCTGGCTTCCCTCGCATATCTCCACCTTTTCTCCATCCCATTTTTATTCAAATTCATTGGGAAGCTCCTCCGCGCGAGTAGGTACTCCCAAGCCGGCCGTTACCGGCGCAGCGCGCTCCTCCTCCCCATCCGTTCGCTCGTATCCATTCTTTCTTTTCCTCCCCCTTGTTTTCCATAAATTCTGAATTTTATTTAGTCCGCTTCGCACCGTGCCGTTGCTTCATGTCTTTATACCTACTCGTTTTACCTGCATCGAAGCCGAGAGATTCTATCCGTTTGTATTATGAGAAGATACCGTACACTTAAATTGTATACGCGGTGAAATCGAAAACATGCCACTGTATCTATAAAGTGTTTCCAATTATGATTTTTTTCTCAAATTTATGGAAATGAAAGATTTAAAGATTGAGAAGAGAATACCATTTATATAACATCAAGACATCTTATTTCGGGCAAATCTCTTTTATGCAGCAATCTAAAATGTTAATGGTCAAAAATACTCGTATATGTATATCTAAATTTTTCGTACTCGATACAAAATTTATTTGTATCGAGCATCTTTTTTGTTTCATTTATACTTAAATTGGCTAGGATTATTTCAAAGGATTGTTTCTTCCATTATATTAAAAGGATTAAAATGAAAAATCAATCAATTTACAACAGTATTATTTCTAATTGCATTCAATAACTAAGCGTGCAAACGAAATTTAAGGAGATATTACTAGAACTGTTCGCAAAGAAATAAGTGTATATATGTATGTTGGAAGATAAAATTTTCAGGTCCAACGATGCTCGAATATATAATCAACGACGGGTAATTTAGATAGGACGTTATTTTATATACTTTATATCTCTTAGGGCCTTGCAGGTTGCTCGATCATAAGATATGGGAATGTGTTGAGTGCGTTGATGCGACGATGGAAGGGTAGAGAGCAAAAGCATTCGTGCAAGGAAAAACAAAATAATACTGAACATGCGCGCCATTGGAGGCTCGTAAAACGAAGGGAATCGAATCGCAAGAATTGATAGTTCCTGGGCTTCTTTCTAAAGCATCATTGCCTAACGAGACTGTCTTGGTAGGAATCTTGATAGTCTAATGAAGATTGTATCGCTATGCGAGCGAATAAATTACGTTAGAATATACCGTCATGTTATAATGCACACAGTGACTTAGACGTAAAAATTATGTGTAATGTGCCGTATTGATTTCATTGGGCTCTTGAATTACTTTAACTAGTTTTGCAATGCCAACAGTCACATAAAAAAATAATTTTGCTAAAGTATCTAAAAATTTAGCTAAATATATACAGACCTAAAAATAATCTAATTAAACTATCAAAATAATATAGTCATATAGAACATTCAAACTGATTGCTAGAATGTCAATATTTGTTGTAGCACTGTTTATCATACTTGAGTTTGCTAATTATTTTGATGTGATTCAACAAAATTATTTTCAAATCTATATCTAATAACATTTTTAAATACTTCAGCAAAATTATTCTTTCTGTGACTAATTTTATTTGATTTTTCATGAAAAGAAAAAGTATCTATTATACAGAAACATTACACAATTATATCGCGATATTAACGTTATATTTCATAAATGCAAAGTATTATTTTTCATTAATAAAATGAAGTCAGGTACAAATTTGATACAGTCAACACAACAGTGCTTCTTTCTGTGCATACGGTAGAAATAATAAAATGTACAATAGAGCTAAAAAATGTTATCAATAGTTCAACGAAATTCACATAACAAAACAATTTAAATGCATTCGATAAAATCTTTTTTTGCATATTTTTGTCCAGCACGAAACTTGTGATAATACATATAATGTTGTCTGAGGAATACACACTCAGTTTACAAAAATTATTCTAGTACAATTGTAAAGTGACATTTTGACTCACCTTGCGGCTATAATAATAATGACGCAGAGGTCGCTGCGGTGCGACGATAATCCAATATCGTCGTGCGTCGCGGCGGCAGAAGGGTGTAGGGAGGGGACGCTTTTGCCCTTTTCCCTTCCAAGGGTCTCTGTGACCCGGGTAGCTACTCCATGCCGATCCGTTTTTCAACTGCTGAAACAGCCACACATTGGATTCGCGTTTAACACAGCTGATAAAAAACAGGAACATCGGGCACGTTATTTTTACGAAATTTCACAAGCATTGTTCTTATTCGACACGAGGATTATAAAAATGTCAATGATCTCCGCTATAACAAGGATTATGATGTCACTGCGTTTCTTTCAAATCTGTTCTTGGAGAAGGCGTGAATCACAGATCTAGCACCATAATTATTCTCGACCAGTTGAGTTTTTTTCGCAGTAAAGTTCATCAAAGCACTTTCACAAATTTGATATGACGAGATACCGAAACGGAAAGTACACAAACTTCCCACTATCGCTTACTCACAATTCGCGACGGAAAACATGCTACGAATTATTCACAATATTAACATATTGAGATATTAAAAAAGTGTTTTTATATTCCTTTTTTATCGCTCCTTTATTCGGGAATGCACAAGAAGGATGATGCTTACGCGGCAGCGCTCACACACTATACTAGTAAGTGTACAACGATCGTTCATCAGAAAAACAGGTGAGAGAATAACAAAGCGATCATCGGCTGATCGTACCAGCACGTTCAAGCCGCGTCGACACGTGAGATTGTGAGAGAACGCGTCGCGTCGTTGGGATTTCGACTACGGCTGGCAGCCACAGCGCGGCAAAGGCGAGGCAAATGTTGGTGAACGTAACGGAACGGAAATATACACCGCGAGCTGAACGAGTTAGCTCGCTGCCAAAGCTTGGCAGTACCACTACGCGACAGACGCGTGTAGCCAAGAGCAGAGAGACCGTAGGTACCGACCAACGGGATTTACTATGCTCGAACTGTACCAGCCTTCTCTTTCTCTTTCTCTTCCCTTCTCTCTCTCTCTCTCTCTCTCTCTCTCTTGCTTTTTTTTTCTTTCTCACTCTTTCCCGCTCTGTCGGTTAAGGCAGCAAAGGCAAGGCAGCGCAGCAAGACGAGTTGTTGCGAGCGACACGTAACAACGACCGCCTCTCTTTGCCTCGCGCACTGCCGTCGCAAAACCGTAGGATGGAGTCAGGTCGAAGCAGGCCAATCAGGCGCCCAGCGTATCTACCTGCGGACTGCCTTCTGTGTAGCACCTGCAGGCAATATGCCTCAGCCTTATACTTTGTAAAATGCCGGCTCGCGTCGATGACAGATCGTCCGCGGTCCGCCTCAGCTCTAACCCTTTCCTCTCTTTCGCCGCTTCTGCGTTCCTTTATGCCGCGGCTGGCTTATTACGTGAAGCCAACTAGCTGGCTTCTAATATTCTTGCAATGTCGCACAATGCGGCGATCGCCAAGTCAATCTATCAATACGTCAACAAAACATTTTCCGGTACACAAACGGTAGCTGGATGTAATTATTCTGAGAAATAGTACAATAGAACTAACACGTGATATAAAGTGTTTTCTCTCTTTCTCTCTCTCTCTCTCTCTCTCTCTCTCTCTCTCTCTCTCTCTTTCTCTTCTTACATTTATAATAGATGTTGTGATATAGTGACTTCCTTTTTTCCATGATCATCTTGAAATTCCAAGTAGTATCTCAATCCTGAGATAATATAATATATGAAAGAAAAGCATGAATCTTCGAAGATAATTTGTCAATGCTCCGTCACCCACTTGGAATTTCAAGATGATTATGGAAAAAAGCAAGTCACTATACCACAAAGCGGAGCACCGCAGATTGAGTCACTAGCCAGTTTTATTTCGGGTACCTGTTATTGCTCTCTCTCTTAACGCTCTCCCGCAAATGCGAAACAAAGGACCGCCATTGATTGAACTTGCTAGTCTCTCGGAAACATTTAACGCTCACTTGGACATCCCTAGCGATAGAAATGCCGCGTTTTCTTGCAGTACCAGCGAACACTCTGTGTCAAGACCTCTCATTATCTCCTACTGTTATCCCCTGCCATTATTTTCCATTCTTATGATCGATAGCGTGAAGAATGTAAAACGTACGATTGCATCGCCTGCGAAAATTTCATGGAACATTCGCTACAAATGAATATTCTATATTCAATCGTAAAATAACAATATTTCTCTACATTTCAATAAGCTGATTTTATTTACAGATAATGAGAATGATAATCATTGATACGATTCATTAAATTAACGCGTTGACTTAAAACGATATCTATGAATATATCGGTCTTATATTTGTAATTGACAATTTTTCCAGCCTAAACTTAATTTCGCCTCACTTGTGAATTGAAACGTTATATTTGGAAATATATACAATATATATCTTATTCGATCAATGATCTCTCTTACGTGTGTGTTCCTCAATTAATATATCAACTCATAAACATACCCGGTTTTCGCGTAATATTGAGTCGCAGCGGCTCATCATCATTGACTGCGTTTAGGACAGTCGATAAAAACGTCAAGTATCTTTATCACTTACGGCGGTGCGGCTTTTGGGGCTTTAAGAACTTTTAATTAAAATACTTCGGGCACACAACAAGCGCGCGTCGTGAAAGGAGTGGATGGCGGCGTGAATTCTAAAATAGCGGCGTCGTGGAAGGAGCAGATTCGATGTTGATGTCCACGATTGGTTAACTTCGGGTTGTTTCGAGATCTTAGGTCCAGCCCACGATATCTTAATAGATTGCTTTCTACTTGAATCGTCGTCATGGTCGTCTGTTCGCTTGTAGGGATCCTGTTTCTTGAACAACCGTCTTATACCAGCAGTTATAAATTCACAACAAGAAATCGCAGGGTTCTTATTAATACTAATATGCCTCTCTCTAATCCAAATTCCCGACAGTTCCTAGTCGTAAAATGTGAAAAAATTGCAAATGATCTTATAATTAATATCCAAATTTATTTATTGGCTTCAATCTGCCTCTCACAAAAATTTAATACCAATCGATTTAATACAGAAAGTAATTAATTACTGTCTATTGTATTAAATTGATGAACATTAGATTTCTGCAAGAGTGATGCATAAACAACGATTATTAATTATCATTAATATTATTAATATATTCCCGTTTTACACTATGTTATCATGCTGTAATGTAGCAGTTGTTTCATTAAGTGACGTCGTAATTACAAATTCGAAAAAAAATTTAGCATGGAGAATAGCAAACGATTAGGCACTTCTGGTCGAGTGCGTTCAGTACCCCTTTTATGTTTATTATTTTATAGCGATGTAATCTGTAGGCAGTTAAACTTAAATAGGCGGCCACCGTGCTTAAATAACGGCGCTCGATGGGTTTGTGAAGTCGTAATTTATCGTTGATCATCGTTCGTCAAAAAGGCCATCGAGCACACAAAGTTCGAGTCTACGCGAGGCAATAAATTTACAACCTCGAAAACCAAAGCATAAAACTTGTAGCGTATCTGTAGCAGATATCCATAGGAATATACGTAACCGTCGTTGCTATTCTTTGATCTCTAAAACGTCGGATCAGACGGCAGAAACCTGTGCTAGAAACTTTCATTATGGAAATATAATGTATATCTGCTATAATGAACTGAGTCCCGAAGAGAATTTATTATCTACACAAATTATGTTTGATCCTAAAAAATAAAAAGATACTAAAAGCGCAGTACTTTCGGGTTGTTTCAGCACCATAATGATTTACTTTTGCGATTTCTTACGCATTTTTTTGCTTGTAATATAACACTCAAAAACTAAGCAATGCGTGACCGCGTTTATTTACTTCAATTAGCTAATTATGTAGAGAAAGAAAGATATAAGACCATTAGTAACAAACTTAAGTATTATTTCTACATAAATGTTATGCAGAAATGGCTAACAAAAAATCAAGCAAGACTTTCATTTATTAAACTATATACAATTATATTATGGAACAGCTAATAATTTTATATATATATATATAGAATCATTAAGTAAATTATATTAAAAAATTTCATTTCGTATCATTCACATGTTATACAACATTTACACACTGATTACATTTTTATATGAGTCCATGGTTAATGAATATAACGATTGTTTCTTTAAAAAAGGAAAATAGAAAACATGTTATATTTATTTTATCCTTTTCAATTAAACAAAGAATATGTTAAATTTATTATTAAATATGATAATATTATTAAAATATAACGTTCCTAATCTTACAAATATTTAATAATATTGTACATTGTTCCAATAAAAGTAGAGACATAACAAAAATGAAATGCTTTAATTTGTATCTATAATTTATAAAACAGTTATAAGAAACGAATCATTATTTTATATCATTATATTACATATGATGTTAAAATGTGTAAATTTTATATAACTTATTTTTTAATCAAGGTTTTCTGTAAGCTACAAGTATCAGTTCGCGGTGTTTCTGATGCTACCGCGTGTATAACTTACTGCTTTAATATAAATAGACATCAATAAAGTGATTGATCACCGAGCTCAACTATCACATGTTATAAGAAGAACCAATAAAACCGTCAAGGTCGTTTCACTCATTAAAGTATTTATGATTGCAATTGTTATGGGATATCGGTCACAATTATCACCTATTTAACTTCGCGCCGGACGATTTGTCTTCGACATAGCGCAACGCTTTACAGCTCGGTCCAGTCATACCGATAGAAGAAAAGGGAAGACGGGGGAGAACATAAGAGCTCATAAATGCGAATTTAAGAGACGCAATAAAAACACATTGAAATCGAGAGTGAACGAGCGGAAGCACGTGCTTCAACTACCGCGGGATTTTGTTCGTCACATCGTTGCTCATTTACGAATGCATTCGATGAAAAGTGTCTTTCCTCTCTCGGTTCTTCTGATCTTCTTAAGTATGTTTCACTTCTTTTTTGCACGTAATTTTAATTAAAACGGATCTTGGTGTTACGTAAAATAAATCTTTAGAGTTAATATATATTTTTACTAATTATTTAAATAATTAAATTAATTACAAAAAGAAAAATGTCCTCCCTCTCTCTCTCTCTCTCTCTCTCTCTTTTTGTGTACACTACTAATTTTTGCAGTGCTATATGTTCTGTGTATTATTTATATATGCTCTGTAGCGTAAC